GATTGATTACAAACGCACAAAATTATGTTTATTTAATTCTCGATACACTTTTGCGCAACGTTCTCGATCCGTTTAATTGAGCTTATATATATATAACGAACATAAATTACCAGTTATTTTTATTTCTGGCAGTTGATTTCAAGGAATATTCAGAATAAAATAAATTTTTGTCATCCATAAATATTAATTATATTGTCTTCTCTTTCACGAAAATGTTAAAAAAAGATATGTTATTTGGTTTATTTGCTTTAATTGCTTTATAATCGAGCGTAATAATATTAATTTGGGATTATATGTGGGATCGTATATTAGACGGTGTCGAAAAGAACAAAGTCCGATTTTTATAAAGTGTCTTTTATTCTTGCTTTTAAATATACGTCCGTTCGCGTCGGTGTCCGTCGGTCGAATCTCGCGTCCGTTTCGTTATTCCGAATCAGTTCGTTATTATTCTTTTCTCCTTCGAGATTCTTCTCACAAACAAATATCTTATATTCTTAATAACAAGTGTCAAAGGAGAATCTATTTGTTATTATTGTTTGTCTCACGTCATTAAGCGTTGAAGTTATATTACAAAGGAAAATAGCGTTGCAACGTCACGAAGAAAATACAATGATAAAACGAAAAGAAATTATTGCAAAAGAATATCAAAAATACCTAAGTCTATTCTGTTAAGCTGATCCGCATGTCAATGCATGCAACAATAGCATCGTCACATTAATATTTAAAACGGTATAAAGAAATAATATAAGAAATATCTATATTCTTTTTAAATTTCAATAACTTTTCATTACTATGATGCATACTATGATGCATTCTCGATTATTAATTTTATAACAAACGCACAACATTTATTTAATTCCCAGTACACTTTTGTGCAATAACGCAACGTTTTAATTATAAGTTTATTAGTAATCGATAAAGCCACGATGTATTGTTTATTTAAAAGAGAAAGCGATCGCGATGGAAATCGTAAAGCGAATCTTTCTTTTTTGTTGTATTAACCCACGATCGATCGCCGCTTTATTTAACCGCTTATGGAAAACTCATGCACGTGGCGTCGATGAAAGTTTAATAGGGATCGATTTTGCGGTTAGCAACCTATCATCCATGCAATTTTTCAGCGAGAAGGATTAGCATACTGACTTTCAGTCCTTACGGACGAATGACGCGACAAAAGATGCTCGGAGATAGGTAGACTGATTATTATTCATCGTTTTTTAATTAAATCAGTTTTCCTTCAACACGAGTCTCATTAATATACGAGGTGTAATAAGTAGACGGTTATGAATTTTTCATTAATAATTTCTAAGTTTTCGGAAAGAGAAAGAGTGGGGATGAAGAAGGGGAGGGGGAGTTTCTTTAGATCTTTCACGTTATATACTCAATAAACTTTTCTGTCGAGTAACGTCAAAGTAAAAATGCTCGATGAAACATCCATCCGATATTGGAATATCGTAAAATTTTCCCGTGTATTCCCGTGTACGTTGCGAGATCGCGAGCACAAAGAATTTCGCGGATCCCCCTTCCACGTCAATACGCGGAAAGTTCAGAGAGGAATTCTAGAAGAGAAGAGAATATGGTCGACGCGCGAATCGCCCGAGCGGGCGCGATGCGCGTTTCATTTTTCCGCGACAAAGAGATTTTAACGCCCCATTCTTTTCTTACTATTCATTCCATTTCTTTTCCCACACTCCGCGATGCAAACGTTTTCATTATTGCGTGCCGCGTGATATAGTACGTGCGCCGTGCCGGTGGCGGGTTGTTCTTGTATATAGAAGTAACACCGATCCGTTTGCATTATTGGATTCACCGGACACTAGATGCATACCGCGATAATACCAGGAGATGTATGGCCGGCCGTTCCCATTGTGGAAATTCGCTGGCCGTGTAAAAGACACGACACGCGAGTAGCTCGATATCCAATGGCTCGTTACAAACGCGACCTACAATTTGCCAAATATTTATCTCGGCGGCTGTACGGTTTCCCGGCCGCGAGAGGGGAAGCGGATTTCCGCGACAGAAAATGATAACGTCGTAAAATTTCGCGCCATATAAAAATTCATGCCTTCGACGATTTACGAGAATTTATCGCTTCGAGGGAATTCCGCGCGCGCGGAAACTAATTTAGAGGGGTGATCGTTAACGTCCCCGATGGGGGAACCCGTGTGGTGTGATGCTGATTGGTGATGGTGGTAGGAGTTTGCATAAAATCGCGTGCGCTACCGTTAAGCTTAGAAACGAGATAAAAGAATAATAACGGTTGATGTGTGTTCGACCTGATAACGCAGGTGGGGTCGCGTCTGGGGATGCGGAGGGATCCGTGCGCCGCATGCGGGTTGCCGGTCTTCTTGGCGGAGAAGTTGCTGATAGCGCGCGCTCCTTATCATCGTACCTGCTTCCGGTGCGCCCGCTGCGCCAACCAGCTGACGCCGGGCAACTACTACGAGACCGAGGAGGGCCAGTACTGCTGCGAGACGTGTCCGGACGAGGAGGAGCCCGCCAGTGTGCGTCACAAGTACGCCGAGATGTCCTCTGACGGGGAAAGGGAGAGGGACGAGCCGCCGTTGAGGCCGCTCAGCGACGAGGAGAAAACGGAGAGAAAGGTCAGTATTCGCATTTCCGGGCCTTAAGCTCGAATAAAAAAAGAATAACATTTTGATTAACGAGAAAGAAAATTTCGATTGACGAAACTTCTTTGTGTGTGTGTGTGTGTGTGTGCAGGCTGTGTTGGAGAACGCTGCGGTGCCCGATCTGATCTCCCACACGTCGCAGATGCGAAAGAACTTCATGACCAGCCACCTTCTTTCCGAGAAGATCGACGAAACTACCGTGAAGGATACGACTGCGAGCGCGAAGATCGACTCGGATCGTCGCGAGGAGAGAAAAAGCAGGGTCGACTCGGCATTCCCAGACGACGACGACGAAAATAAGGAGGAAGAGGAGGAGGAAGAGGATATTGATGATGATGATGATGATAACGATGATGATAATGATAATGATGATAATAATGATGATAATGATGAGGAAGAGGAGGAAGAGGAGGAGAAATCCTCCGCGACGGATTCCCCCGATGTGCAGGAATCCATCGTCGAGCGATACAATGTACATAGCGCGTTAAATAGCTTAGACATTAGGAGCGACGAGGATCAACGATCGACTGCCATTTCATTCCATGACATAGGTAAAAAGAGGAGAGAGGAGGATACCAAAGAGTCGCCAGGGCGCGCCGGTGATCGAGCCAATTCTGAAATAAAATTGTCGTTGGTTCAGAAGAGACTCCAAATGTTCGAGGTGCTGGATAAAAGGGATCGCATCGATAGAACGAATCAAAGCAGAAAAGAAAGTCCAATGGCTCAGAGCGACTCCTGGGACCTGGCACCGGACATTCTTCCAGTGAATGAGGAAGAACGTTCGGAAAAGAGGCTCGAAGAAGACTCGATGATTAAAAATACTGATAAAAATAACTTCGAGAATGTCGGCACACAGCGAAAGGAAGACTCGAAGATTACAAGTAGCGAGAGGAGCAAGGAGAATTTGTCAAAAGATGTCATACAAGTGAATAATGAAGAGCATCTTGAGGATAACTCGAAAGTCCGAAGCATCGAAAAACGAAAGGAGAGTTTCGCGAAGCTCGAGAAAAAACGAAGCGAGGATAATGAGATGGACACGGAACATTACGAGACTGTCAAGGGAAGCGGCGTGCTAACCGCGAAGGGCATCGATTTAAGTGACAATGAGGATTATCCAAAGGATCTGAATCCCTTCAAGAGTGACGAAGAAGACAGTATGGAGGACAAACTACGGACTGCAGTAGATAGCTCTAGGAACAACAAAGTATCGACTAATCCATTTGACAGCGAGAATGAGGATGTCGAGGAACCGGAACCGCCGAAGCCGGCGGCGAGGAGTAAACTGGAGAATCGAGGAATCATAACGGAAACGTCCGTGACCAAGCGAATCCTCGCCGCGCCGCAAATTAATCTTAATCCATTCTGGAGCGACGAGGAAGAAGAGTATGTCAGCGACGAGGAAAAACGGAACAAAACGCCACAAGGAAACGTGCCTGTACCGAAACCACGTACTATCAAGTATGTTTTGCACTTTATTTTAATGGTGCTATACATAAGAATTTTGCGTTAATTCTTTTTTTATTACACGAATAGGACTACTGAGATAAGCGTCATACCACGAAAAACCAATTTAGATCGTGGAGGCATGTACGCGTCTAACAGTTCCTTAACCAGTTCCGAATCAACTATAACTCCTAGTGGGACGTACAGGAAGAAGAAACCTGCGCCGCAGCCACCAGTCGCGAAAGAACTATTTCCGTCCGATCAGCGCGAAGCGCCTATACTCAAATCGTGTAACAGCTCATTACCCTCGTATCACGTATGTTTTATGAGTATATTATTTTTTTTTAATTTGATCCTTTTTAACATTCACAATCTTAAATTTGACTGACAAAATTGATTATATACATATACAAATTATATTACATCCTTATATATTATGATAAACACTGTATAGATAAATTTTGGAAAAAAAACTTTCATTATTCGATTTTCTCTTCGGTGATAAAGGACTCATCGCCTCGTAACACAACGCCACGAGCTCGGAAAACCAAGCCAGCTCCTCCACCACCAATGCCGACTAGCACACCTCGCAATGTCTCGACTGACAGTGTGCTAAGTTTCGACGAATCTCCCATAATCAGATTTCGCAGCGATGATCGTAACTTGAGCATGTGGGAAGATCAGAAGACAAACAAAGACGAGACAAATCGAAACAGACAGAGCTTGAGCAACGTTACGTGCGACAATCCCTCTTGCACGTCTTTCACCGACAAAAGCGTGCAAGGGAAGTGGAAAAGGAAGAAGGGTCCCGCTCCACCGCGGCCAATTCCGCATAGGAGAAAGGTAAGATTCTATTTTTAACGTGTAAGTTATATTATGTAAACTTTGTGTAGAGTTCTTCATTTAAATTTTTTCTTTTTTTTAAATAGTTAATATATTTTAAATAGTTAAATAGTTAATATTTGGTGATTTTTTTAATTAAATTTTAAGTGCGTAAGTAAATAAGAAACGAGAGACATGGTTTAATTGCAGATCAAAGTGTTATCTATGAAAGACGTGAAATTAGAATTAGATGAGATAGAATTGCAACAGCAAGGCTTAGAGAGACAAGGTGTGCGATTAGAACAGTTGATACGAGACAAGTGTGAATCGGGACCTAGAACAGAAGGTGAGAAAAGCATAAATATGAAATGCTGCATATACGTTTTAAAAATGGTTTAATCTGATTAATTGATTTAATTGATAGATTCGTCGCTTGGCACGGATGTGGAGGAACTGGTTTTGGAATTGTTCGCATTAGTAAATGAGAAAAATGAACTGTTTAGGAGACAGGCCGAATTAATGTTATTACGGAGGCAACAAAGATTGGAAGAAGAACATGCCGAAGTAGAATATCAAATACGATGTCTCATGTGCCAACCAGAAGCTACTAAAACGGATTTTGATAAACAGCGGGAGGAAACGTTGATACAAAGGTATTTTAGAAAAAAGAATTTAATAAATTATATAAAAGTTAATAAAATTGCAAAAATATAATGTAATCATTTTTCTTATAGGTTAGTAGAAATCGTGGAGAGAAGAAACGAAATTGTCGAATGTTTAGAAATGGACCGTCGAAGAGAAGTAGAAGAAGATAGAAGCATAAATAAACATATGGGTTTATTTGCTGGTAAGCAATATGATACGTAAGCAATAGATACATTATTTTAAAATAACACAACACTAAAATCTATTTGAATTATTATTTATTTTTCAGCGAGGAACAAGAATGAGCTATCAAGCAAAGATAATGATTCTTCTAGTACAGGAAAGACGAAGAAGGGAAAAAAGAGAAAAAAGAAAAGAAATTGAAAAAGGTTACGAAAAAGGATGCCGACAAGGATGTGGATGAGACTGAGGTGAAACTCAAACGCCATAGCAAAAGAAGATGGTTTTGAGTTGCGACGGTGTTAACAGTTAACAATTATAGTAGATATAAAAAATATATATATATTTCGTATTTAATACTTTTATATATATTTTTAACACTTTGTTATTTATATATGTAAGAATGTATGCTAAGATTATAAATAAAATCACTCGTTTAATTGCTCCTTGCCTTGATTGCTAACTGATTATCTATTTTACTTGTAATGAGATAAATCAATTTTTTCATTATAAATAAATTAGTATGTCAAAATTAATGTCAAATCGTCTGAGAAATCTTCAATATTCGAACTGGTGCGTTAATAGATTGTATTGACATAATATGTTTTGGCGAGTCACATTCTTCAAAAGCAAGATCGTGATTTCCTAAAAAAGGAAAAAATTTAAATCTTGAATGATTTCAACATAGCTTTTGTAATGACAGAGTAATTAAAATGTACCTAAATGTTCCAAAAATTGTGTAACAGTATCTTCATTACGAATTGTTGCAGCGAAAATTGCATAATTGTCTGGCGTTAAGAGACATTTTAATCCTGATGCCAAAGAATCAAACGAGTTACTTTCGTACAGAATATCAGCGGCGATAATTACGTCGGGATGTGATGACTCATCTGTCACATATCTATCAATATCCTCCCATTTCAAATCTATTACTTGAATGTCAGTTTGCTCGTATTTTAATTGCAACTGTAGCCTTGATGTTGCTTCACGTGTATTCAATAATTTGCATCGCTCGTTCGACAGGAAATTAAGTTTTACGTTATCACAGAGCATATCTAGTACCATTGGATGACAATCGGAAAAAATGTATTGCTTCGGACAGCACGTGCTAACTACGCTCATACCAGTCAATCCGATTCCACAGCCGAGTTCTAATATAGTTTTTCCATAAAACCGTTCTTTATTTTCTGCGCACCATTCATTTAATATTACGGCACCCTGTTAATTAGAGCTAATGTAAAAACTCCAAATTATTAAGAATATTTCCAAAGCAATTTAAATACATGAATAGAATGATTTTACTGAAGCACAAATTTGGCCAGATACAAACTAAAAATAATTTTATTGACTTATCAAAATAATTAAGACATTTAAGTTGGTTGTTAAAATATCAAAAATTTTTTTAAGTTAAATTTGTAAAATATTTATATATTTAAAATTTTTTAATATTTCGATAAAATTGTCCTTTTCATGTAATATTTGAAGATTATAGAAAGAAATCCTAGAAGTACCTGCCAGCTGCATAAGCCTGTAGTTCCTTTGGAAATCAGATTTGTACTCTCTTTTAATGTAATACAATTTAATGTTCCATTTTCAATTAAAAAATGGCGGTAATGCATAGATTCTCCATCTGGCAACGATATCAATCTGCAATATGCATTATATAAATCAGCGTGTACCTCGTTACCACTTTCTTCTATCTGAATTATGTAATAACAAAAAAAATAATTTAGCATCTTATATCTTCTATTCTGTATGAAGATAATTGTTATATTTTAAATGTACCTTTTTCATAAGAGATTTTAAAAATGCTTTCTGGTATGAGATCTTTATCGGATATCGCTTAATCAACTCACTGTCTATTGTATTATCCAAAATTTGCTTTTGGATGTTTAAATCGAAATCTTTCCCAATACCTGCAAGATATTCTTGTTATATTTTCAAAACATCATAACAAAATATGGTTATATGTAATAACTTACTTACTGTAAAATCCATGTTAATTAATGCAGTACAGCAAAGAAACTGTTTTGTTAAATAAATTATATGTGTATCTTGTTTCATATTATTATCAATGAATTGTGACATTAATGATTTATATAAAAAAAAGGGTAATTATTTAGAATACCCCCATCATCTCTGATTTTGACAAATTTGGGCTCAATTTCGCTCAAAATAAAAGAATCTGACAAAAAAAACGGCGGTATATCTCGCGAACCGAGATATTAAGCGTTAAAGTTGATCACTTTTTTGGTTAGGAAACCTATCATAGCGACTCGATACAGCTAAAAAAACGTTAAAAATAAGTGTTAAAAATGTTATTATATTCGAAGTGCAAGATGCAATCTTTCGCCTTACTAAATTGATGAGTCTATCATATAAAATGATAGATCCTAAAAAGATTGGCAAAGACCCCTATGCAAGATTTGGAGGTGAAGACTTAGCAAGATGTAATCTTTCGCCTAATTAAATTGATCTAGTCTATCATATACTAAAATGATAGATCCTAGAAAGATTAGCAAAGATTCCAACGCAAAGATTGGATGTGAAGTTTTCGCTGATCTTTTTATTTTGTTATAAATTTAATTTTGTGTTGTTTTCATAATTAGTTCTGTGATAGGGGAGGGGAGGGGAGTTTTTCATTCCCCCAACCCGCCCACCAGGGAGCTTCGCCCTCTGGACCCCTGACGAGGGGACTTCACCCCCTCGATTCCCGTTCGGGGGGCGTAGTCCCCCGAACTCCCCCATGCCTACAGAGTCACAACGCATGCTCAGTTCGCTGCATTATTATTTAACAATTTTTTAATAAGATATTTTTTTATTAACTTTGCTCGACTTTGCACTTTTTAAATAAAAAATTTTTTATTTAACAATTTTTTAATAAAATATTTTATTAACTTTCCGCGACTTTGCACTTTTTTAATATAAGGGTGAATTCCTACTGAGCGCGTCGTGCAAGGAGTCGTGCGGCAAATGATGCAATAAAATGAGGTGTTTTGATTGGTCAATTCATAACGCGACGAATGACGCGACACGTGATGCGCTCAGTGAGAATTCATCTTAACTTCAAGCTTTGAAATAAATTATTTTCACAGAAAGAAATGTTTAGTACAAAAAATATTATAATATATAAATTCAAATTTATTACGAACTTTATTTTATATTTCATAAAATTATTTTATATTTTATATAAAAAAAGTAAAGAGAGGATTATCTTTAAACAAAAATGCTTTTATGCTTCGTTGGTCCACGATGATTGATTTGATCGATCCGATGCTGAGACAAAGATCACTGATCCGGATTAGTCTAGGGAAATTTAGAGAATCTATTGGTTGAATGCTTTATCCAATCAGGGAGTCAATTATGTAACTTTATGTGAAATTTTTCACTTTTCATTTTTCACACCTTGACATTTCACATGAAATTTTTCACGTACAGCGATTATGTATGTAGCTTGGATGCGTGAAAAGTGAAATCATGAAACATAGGTTTTACTACACACACACACACACACACACACACACACATAATGAAAATTATTTTATTGGTACAATATTATATACTTTTAATAACCCATCTTTTAATAACCAATTATATATGTACTACGTACACTTAATCCTAACGCAGCCCTAATCTTCTCTAATTCCAAAGCATATTTATTAATTCCCTAGATTTCTGCCTTTCCGCCACCAAGGTACATGACAAAAAAGTTCATGTGAAAAATTTCATATTTTCAGTTTGAGAGAGTTACATGATCCCGCAAAATCGTTACATGATCGTAAGTTCACATGAAACTTTTCACTTTTCACGTTTCCGCCCTAGGGGAAAAGTTACATGATCGACCTCCAGCGAGAGCTATAAGAGCTCTCCCACACCGAATGTGATGAGCGATGAACGATATCTAATGAGAGCTTTGCTTTTTCAAATGTCACGGATGGACCATTATGGGAGTTAGCGTGACTGCTGAGCAGATCCGAGGATAATTAAAGAATAATGATATTACCGTTTTGACTGCACTGAGGATAACAAAAAGAGGATAACGTTTATTTATTATAACGGATTTAATTTTAAATTAATAGTTCGTAAAAGAAACTATTAATTTAAAATTAAATCTGTCATAATAACAGTAATAAATAAACATTATCCTCTCTTTGTTATCCTTAAAGCCTCTTTCACCTTCGGTTAAGCTAACAGCCTACAATAGGCCTATTCTCTAATTTCTTAACGACAGTTAAGTTTCACTAGCTAGTGATGTCGTTACGCAGCTTTTTTTCTAATATATTATACCTGCGCAACGACAACGTAATGATACAACACTGTCGTTAAGAAGTTAAGGCCATTGCATGTAAAAAATTTTAATCGTAATCGTAAGATCATAAGCAAATTAACCAATCAGAATCAATTATTCTACTTACAGTCTAAAAATAATCGATTGTAATTGATCAATTCGTTTACGACCTTACGATTACCATTAAAAATTTTTTCACTTGCAATGACCATTAGAAAGAGACTAGGCCTACTAGCCAATTATTTCCAGCTATGTATCATTTCTGTTGATTTTCGCCAAAATAGACAGTCGATTGGCCATCGTATAAAATGCCCGCTATTTCTTGTACGCGTCTTATCTCGTGAGTGGAAAATTCCCCGAAAATTCCCTGGACGTGCAGCCAATCGGCGTTCCCGGCAACTGTCGCCGAACATAACCTGAAATTACAGGTCCTCAAACTTAGTTTGACTGATTCTCGGTGGCCGTGTTCCGCGGTACTCCGCAAATTGTTTCGGTATGGCTGATGTGGGCCTAAGTCTAGATGATATAATTAAAAAATCGAAATCATCGGGAATGAGAGGCAGAGGAGGGTGAGGCAAATTCAGCTAATTTTCAACGGGACTTGATGTTCCGGCCCCAATATTCGCGTTGCATATTTATAACCTTGACAATCCCATTTCCGTCGATTGAAATTCGTGCGCGAAAAATCTTTTCTCTCTGAATTTTCGGGATTTTAACTCTTTTGATAATTCCATCGCCGCAAAGTCGCCTGAATAAAGCGGCACGCGCGAATATCGCAACCATGATTAGCTCCGAGAAAAAAAGAAAAATGTCAGTTTTATTCCCACGATCGCACAGTATTATGTCTACGTGTTTGATATAAACTTCGTGATTTTCGAGCGAAGTGTAAGAAAATCGATTCGCCGATTTTTCCGCAATAATCTTCTGCTTATGAAAAAAGAAATTTATCTTATATTTTATTAGAATACGCAGAGGTATCAGCAGAGGCGCGCGAGCGAATGGTTCCATGAGAGGACGTGGCTCGCAGATAATCACGGATGCGCGATTTAAAATTATACAGAAGAACCGGGAGAAGCTGACCGATGCCAGGGACAAGCTCGCTGAAATTGCGAAGCAAAGCGACGCACGACTCAAGTTGGACAAGTTACGTGCGTCTCATTACAAGAAGATAGATACACAGCTTTCGGGAATCTCGCGGAAGACTGGCCGGAACGGCAGACTTTCATTGTCGACAAATAAAGTGCCGTCTATGATGCCACACTTACCACCGAATATGCCAAACAATTACATGCAACCTACTACGAGAGCGGTTGGATATAGACCACCTCTCTCCGAGCCGCATTATTTAGGAGATATGAGTATGGATTATACTGAGGGTATGTAAAATATAATATGTTATACTGATGTATTCGTATAACAGGATGAATAGCTACAACTAGACGAGAGATTATGCAAAAAGAAATCAGAAATCTAGAACATAATATTTTGCTTTATTTCTGAGATAATAATATTAATTTCAAATATATTTTAACATTTTTAATAATTACATTTATTAATATATTACATTTATTACTTAATGAATTATTGAAATGGCTATTTCTGCTGTCACATGCAAATTACTACTTAACATATCAAGAATTGTGTACTACTTGTATTTTGAATCTAGTTATTCAAATGTTTGTACAATAATCTTAGTTGAAAAGAATTTTTATATCTAGGTCTCGATTATTTCATTATTTGAAATTCTATTATTTCAAATACGAATCAAAAAAATTTCTATATTTTCGATTTATCTATATATGTTTAATGTCTGTTTGGTATCACCAAACTTGTTCACCCGCTATGTATATTTTAATAAGTTTGAAAATTGTGATAGTGTTCATTAAGATAAAACTTCATGTTAGCTTATCTTTCTAGATTACATAACAGAATCCGCTTCACTGAGAAGGACTGTGAGTAACGAGTATGCGCCAACACCTCCGCCTCCACCTCCTGTGTTCAGTATTAATGCAATTTCTCCATATACCTGGGTGAAATCCAGAAACACTAATGTATCTAGAATTTCACCTCGAAAATCTGAGATAGAAAAGGAACGAGAGAGACAAAGAGATTACAAACTTGTTGCGCGATCTGCAATGGTGAATAATTTTGTTCTTTCTACGTGATATTTAATTTTATAATTTCTGATTGATTTACACTTACGTAATTTTTTTTTCTTCATAGGCAAAGACTGTTTCACCTCCTTACAAAGAAGACTGGAGTTTTGGTACAAAATCAAGGTAAACATTCACGAATTTTGGAATATTTGAATATTAACCGTATAAACGAATGCTTTTTTTGATTCTGATTACAGAACAATTGTAGCAGAGGATACGACAGATTCCAAATATTATGATTCCAGAAATCTTCGAGAAGTAGGAGTTAAGTCGCGTCTCGATTCCTCTGCAAATAAAACAAGGACAATGGGCGTTTTATCGCGACCGAAAACAAGTTCCACTTCGTCGACACAATCAAATGGCTATAGAATTGTAGTATCTAATTTGCAAGCCAACGTTACGCAAGAAGATATCAAGGTACAGTAAGAAAATTAAGAAAAGTTACTTTTCTTAGAGATCTAATTATTTGCAGGCATTTAATAAAAATTATTTTTTATTTCCGCAGGAATTATTCGAAGATGTTGGGGAATTGCTCGTATCGAGATTAGTACGTCCAGGTACAGCAGAAGTAATCTATAAAACGTTGAAAGATGCGACTAAAGCAGTTGAAACTTATCATAATCGACAATTAGACGGTCATCCGATGAAATGCCTTCTTGTTAATCCACGACCAAAAAATAATCCAACTGGGCCAGCTGTTCGATCCCTCACGGAGTAAGTAATAAAAATTTTCTATTAGTATATATATATATATATATATGTATTAAGGACACAATTTTTGTGGTATATCTTATGAATCTATTCTATTGTATGCTGAATTGTGTGATTGTACATGCGAAAACAGCATAAATTCATTTATTTGGATCAGTGTCACATGGAGTCATTATTATTATGTGTAATTCTTCACATCTAATGTCATAATCTACTATTGCCTAGCTATTGTTGCAGAGATTAACTAATCTTAACAGAGATTAAAATTAATTCAGAATCTTAAGATAATCATCTTCTGAATTATATGGTTTGTAGGCCAGCGCTCTTTTCTTCACGACGCAATTTCTTTCCTACAGATCGAGGCGTAGTATCAGCTCAAGTTACGTACAGCCAAGTTTAGGAGCGGTGCATCGAGCGTTATTTGATGATTCTTAATCGAGTGTATGCATTTTTATAAGTTAACATTAAAGAAGAAAATGTCTTGTATATGTAATGGACACTATGCAGAATAATCTTAGGGAAGCGAAAGAAGAAAATAGTGGAACGCAGAACCGCGTACTCATACGTACGCGATTCTAATTCACAGCGGTAATTGTATTAATAACTTGTACCACTCATTTTATCTTTAATCTGTACGGTCCGTACGACCGATGACACTCGAACGCCCATAAATTATTTTCATTGTTTTCTTTATTTTTAGAGATAAACGTTTCCTCTTGTATTTTTAGCAATTTTATTAATTGCAGCTTATTTGTTTAATGTATCTCATATTCTCTAAGTAAATAAAGATAAATTATATTAATATTCTAAAATATCAAAGGTCACATATTCTTCGATATTGAAAATAATGCAAGAAGTTCAGGCGTTCTAGTGTTGAAATATAGAGAGAACTTTACATTAAGATAAAACGATCGCAAAATTGCGTAAGTATCAGGTACAAGAACTGCTTCTTGTATATTTAATATGTCCAAATAAAATGGTATTCATTCAACAATTTTAATATCCTTTTCATATATGATAGATAAGAGTGAGAGTATATTGATCATATGCGATCATAAATATAATTGATTCAGCGTTTATTTAAATATATATAGAGCCTTCATACTTCCGAATTTCAAAGATTGTATCCTGTATATATGTGTTGGATAATTTATATTTTTTCCATGCTTTTAAACTTATGTAGAAGCAAGAAGCTTGGATGAAATCGTTTTCTTTGAGGATCTGTTTTATAATTTCGTACTCGATAGAGCGCGAAACAGGGAAGAGCGACTTAATACGATAAAGAATTTATTTATTTATACATACATCATCACAATATATTCATACCTATAAAATACAAAAGCTAACACACCACGCATGCTGTTGCTGGTCATGCACTAAGGATCACCTCTCCGGGAAGAGGGTTTGCGTTATTGAAGAATAGTGCGAGTTTCAAAGTCGGAAGTTGGTATTTTGACACACGGAGAGTAAATGGCACATGAATAAATTTTTCTCCGTAAGAACTAACGACGGCACCACCAGGGGTCAATACTCGCCGTAGTACGTTCACCGCGTGGAAGGGAAGGGGATATACAATGAAATACGAAATGTTCAAACTTAAAAGCTAACGCAGACGCGCTAATTAGTGCCCTAGAATCATATCGCTACACGTATCCGCGTCGTAGAATATTTACAAGAGAGTACAAAACAATACTGAGTCTCATCGCGGGATGAATGACGAGGATCAACGCGTGAGATCTCTACTCTATATAGCCAAGATTATAATCAAAATCCAAATATAAAACTCTACACCTCGTGTACGCGTTTCGTTCCATCCGCGTTCATTCGTTCCGTCTAATTTCTACGATAATGATTATTGGCTCTGGATTTATTGTTAGGCGTACGAAGAACCTCTGCGTAAGACATCTCTAATCGCTTCAGCCGTGCTACCTCCTCCGACGCGGTGCTGGGTTTGAAATCCTTGTACTCGTAATTATTGTGCTGCTGTTGTTGCTGCTGTTGCTGCTGCTGCTGTTGCTGCTGCTGCTCGCTCGGACCGCGTGCAAGACCGTACAGCTTCCTCCAGTTATCCCTCGTCCGGTTCGGATGTCCGTTATGCTGACCGTTCCACGCATTAGAGTGCTCGTGTTCGGCAGGGTTGAACGGTTTGAACCTTCTTCGGCCACCGCCATTCGGTTTAGGCGGCACGAGTTTCGGATTTGTCGTGGGAATGACGTCCGGCGTGGTCGACCGGTCGTTGTAATGCGCCTTCTTAGCGGCGTTCTTCTTCGCCGAAGACTTCTTGCGGACGCGCAAGTTGAGAGACACGTAATCCATTCTGCAGCCTCCGTCCTTTGCCGGCTGTTGATTGGTGGTGTTGTTGGATTTGTTGTCGGATAGTTGGCCGTCTTTCGGGTTGGCCGGGCTGGCGGATTGCACCCTGAAGACCGGCTCCGAGACCACCGACGATACCATGGAGGACATGACGCTTTGATTGTCGTCCGTCGCCTCGCTATGCAGCTCTTCCTGTAACGACGCGTCGTACTTTGTCTGCGATGTGGCGGGATCATCGAGCAACGGCAACTTCTCCCCCTCGTCCTTCGCCTCGGCCGCCCGTTTCAGAACGCTGAAGATCTCGCTGAAGAGCTGTCGGTACTCCGGCGTCT